CTTCTCCCATTCTCACTACTGCACTTGACTAGCATTAAAAAAAAAAGTCCATTTTATTTCTTTTAAGGTTTGTGGTTGGTGCTTTGGTGTTAAGTCTAAGAAGTCTTTGCCTAGTCCTAGGTCTCAAAGATTTTCTTCTGTTTGTTTTTTTCTAAAAGCTTAATAGTTTGAGATTTTACATTTAAATCTATATGTTAACTCTTTTCCGCAGAGTCAGTATATGCTATTAGTCCTGGATCTCAAAGGTTTTCTTCTTTATTTTTTTTTTCTAAAAGTTTAATAGTTTGAGATTTTATGTTTAAATCTATGTTAACTCCTTTCTGCAGAGTCAGTACATTCTATCTTTGTAGAAGTAGGAGGTCTTGTGATGTAATTTTATAATCTGGCCAAAATGTCTCATAGAAGCAGACATAGTAATGAGGATACCACATGGAAACAACAACAATAAGAACAAAAAAATCCCATAGACAGCATGTTCAGCATTCAAGGTGACAGTGTCACCATAAGTCTCCCCCCATATTTGTGTGAGCGGCTGAATGACTAACAGCAACAAGACTAAAGGCAACTGTGTGGGACAAGCAAAGGGAAAGGAAAAAAAGGCCTTATGGTCATAAGAACTTGATCTTGGGTGGTTCTAAGAGCATAAAAACAAACAAATAGTCATCTTTTAAGGAAAGCGTTCCTACTTGCAGTGGAGGACTCCATGAACAGATATTTAAATAATAAATAAAACTGGCAGGGGGCTGTATTAGTCTGTTTTCACGTTGTTAATAAAGACATACCCAAGGCCGGGTAATTTATAAAGGAAAGAGTTTTGTTTTGTTTTGTTTTTCCCTGCATCATAAATTTTATTCCCGATGTGGGACAGATTCCTTCCATCCCCAAATGAATCACATGCTGCCCTGGAAAGACCTAGGAAACTCTTCCACTGTCTCCTGGGAAGTAGCGAGAAAGGCAGGTGCTGGGGATTGGAAGGCTTTGAAGTTTCCCAGCCTACTTTTTCTCACCTTCTCAACAGAGGATAGCTGTTCTCTATTATTCCTCTCATCCACTCATCCCTTAAAAAACCCACAAAACCATCATTAGTTAAAACACAAATAAAACCTCTTCAAGTATTGGGCATTAGGGGTTCAGGCTGGGACTTGGGGTCACCAGTGAAAGAGGAAGGGGAAGAGGAGGAGGAGCCATCACTGTTTCTGCGGCAGGGGTTCCTTCCTTGCCGCATCCTGTAGCAACTGTTTGTGTATCTCGTCTGCTGGCAACTGCATGTATGGAACCACTGAGCCCTGAATGAGGCAGTTCTTCACTGATGACATGTGAGGATATTTCTCAGGGTCTGTGACACTGATATTAGTTAGTTTGATGTTGAGATACTGATCCACAGAATGGAGCGTTCCACAGATGCTCAGGTCATTCTTGAGTTCCACAACCGACTTGAAAAAAGAATAGAAGAGCGTGGTGCTGGTGCCACGGGATGGACTGGAAAGAGGGCAGGGGAAAGGAAAGAGGTTTAGACTCACAGTTCCACATGGCTGGGGAGGCCTCACACTCATGGTGGAAGGTGCAGGGGAAGCAAGACACATCTTCCATGGCAGCAGGCAAGAGAGAGAGCATGTGCAGGGGATCCCTCCTTATGAAACCACCAGATCTCATGAGACTTATGTACTGCCACGAGAACAGCACAGAAAAGACCCACCATCATGATTCAATTACCTCCCAGCAGGCCTCTCTCATGACACGTGGGAATTATGGGAGCTACAGTTTGAGATTTGGGTGGGGACACAGCCAGATCATATCAGGGGCTATTCAGGTTCCCAGTGAGGATTAGAGAAAATGTATTGTTGTAGTTAGAGAATCAGCTTTTAGTGATTTTAAAAAATTATACAAATGTTTTAGAATCATTTTGGAAGATCCTGTTTATTATCCAGGGTAAAATAAAGGTGAAATAACAGTAAGGCGTAGAGATTGGAAACATCACGAGAAGTCATTTGTTAAAATTAAGCTGTTTCTCTAAACTTGAGAAATATATATGACTTGAAATCTTTTTTCAAAATTTTAACTTTTTAAAATGTTTTAATCTTTTCCTTTTAAATAAACATAAAATGGATATGGCATCTATCAGGGTTTGTATTACTATTGTCTTGCTGCTGTGGCAAATTGCCGCAAATACAGTAGCTTAAAGCAACACAGATTTATTCTCTTATAATTCTAGAGGTCACAAGTCAGAATCAGTTTTACTGGCCTAAAACTATGGTGTTCGTAGGGCTGGTTTTTCTGGACATTCTAGGGGAGAATTTGCTTCCTTTGCCTTTTCCAGTTTCTAAAGGCTATCCTCATTACTTCACTCTGTCCCAAGTTACACTGCCTTTTCTTACATCGTTTCCATTTTCACATCACCTTTTCTGACATTGTTCATCTTGCCTCCTTCTTGTAAGTATTCTTATGATTACACTAGGCTCACCTAGATAATATAGGATAATCCGACATCTCAACACCCTTAACTTAATCATATCTGAAAAGTTTATTTGCCAGGTAAGCTGACAAACACTGCAGGTTTTGGGCATAAGGATGTGGTTATCTTTTGGAGGACATTGTTCAGCTGACCATAGGTTTAAGAGAGTAAAATGTATATTGTTTACTTCCATAAATACATGTTTTTGAATTATATTCAGATGTTCAGTTAATATTTACTTGCCTTGTGCCTTGTCATTTCTGATTTCATTTTGCAAAGTTTATTTTTATTCTTTTAAGTTTTTTTTTTATTTTTCTTGGTAGTCTTTATGAAATTTGTTTGTGTAAAATTACTGTAACAATATTACTTTAGAGTATTATTATTTTGAAGTATACCTCCCTGTTGCTTTTGCTCACATTTTTGAAATCATTCACCTTTATGTGACTGATATTCTGGATGTACATGAGAATGTATTTTTCCACTTTACCTTGAATGTTTTAAATTATGTCTTGTATCGTTGTCATTGTTGGAGTCTTTTTTTTTTCTTTGTAGCTAGGAGATGCAAAGAGGAAATCCTCTGGAAGCTTTAAGTACTTAATGGGTGCAGTCTTTTCCAGGACCTGGTCCTTATAAATTTATGTTCACAAAAGTGATTCTTTTATTATTATTATTATTATTATTATTATTATACTTTAAGTTCTAGGGTACATGTGCACAACGTACAGGTTTGTTACATATGTATACATGTGCCATGTTGGTGTGCTGCACCCATTAACTCATCATTTACATTAGGTATATCTCCTAATCCTATCCCTCCTCCCTCCCCCCACGCCACAACAGGCCCCGGTGTGTGATGTTCCCCTTCCTGTGTTCAAATGTTCTCATTGTTCAATTCCCACCTGTGAGTGAGACCATGCGGTGTTTGGTTTTTTGTCCTTGTGATAGTTTGCTGAGAATGATGGTTTCCAGCTTCATCCATGTCTCTATGAACTCATCCTTTTTTATGGCTGCATAAAATTCCATGCCATATATGTGCCACATTTTCTTAATCCATTCTATCATCGATAGACATTTGGGTTGGTTCCAAGTCTTTGCTATTGTGAATAGTGCCACAATAAACATACGTGTGTACGTGTCTTTATAAATCATGCTGCCACAAAAGTGATTCTTTTAAAAAATCAACTTTCTCTCAAGAGATTACTGAGAACTCAGAAATGCCAATTTATTATTAAAAAGAAGTTACCAACTAATAAATAAAACAGCATGATTTATCACGAAGTCTGTGTGGATTTAGAACACAGATCACAGACTGTTGAATGATAATGATGTAAATACTGATTACCATTTATTGAATTCCACTGGAGAGGTCTATCTTCTGGATATTACTAGGTCTCTTATAAATGTTCTTACTCATTAGTTTTACTTTTCTTATACTTTTTTCTCTTCTGTTTGTTAGGACACTCACTTGAAACTTGTTTCAATAAGGAGATTACAGCTTTCTTTATAGCAGTCATTGAGGTTGCACCCTGCTCAATTAAATTTGAATTTAGTTTTCAAAATATTGATCAGCATCGTATTTATAAATAAATCTCTCTTAGTGTGGTTATTTTTGCCTGTGAATATTTATTCAGTTTATGTTGAGCCTTATAGTTTCAATTTAAGAAGATATTTTCTGACCCTATGTTCTGATTTTGACATTTTCTCTAATTTATAATCTGTTGTCTCTTACATACTAATAACTTACTTTCAGCAGTGCATGGCACAGTCCTTTTTGGGAATTATTGTAATATATAGTGTGGGCTATTTCCAGAAGTATCTACCACCACTACCTGTTTACCTGTGGCTTCAATGTGGGTGAATGAGTTTGAAATTATCATTGAAGGCAGCCTCCAAGGGTTAAAAACTCACAGTAAGACAACCTGTGGCCTTGTACTCTAAAGGAGGGATGGGAAAGTCTACTGTCTTTGTATTGGAGATGTTGGAAAGATTTGGGGCCCTTTGTTTTACTCGTTCCCCCAATTACATCTTAGCCCTTAGTCCTTGTCATTGTAGCTTCACCTGCCTCCAGACACACATCCCTCACAACATATACACAAACTTCGTATCCAGACTGTCACCTTGATTTTATTTATTTTACCCTAGGCACAGATCTGACCCTAGCTATATTGCCTTTGATACTTAAGGTATATTTAAGATTCTGCTTCTGTTATTTTAATTCATTCTAGGCCCTACATCTCTGGACCTAAGTGTCTACTCTGTGAGGTATATGGTTTAGCTAAAATAAAATGAATGTCATAGATCATAATATATTTGAAAGCATCTTGAATTTGGATTTGACTCCAAACACTTCCATTTTGTTAATGCTAGCATGTAATAAATACTGTGATAACTTAAAATCTGCTTAGTTTCATAGTTTCATAGTTTTTATTATTCTAAAATGCTCTTATAAAAATGAAATCAAAGAAAAGCATAATTTACATATATGAGGTTTCCTTAATGTCTTCTTAATGAAGTTGAAATCATTTATATTTAATTTATTCTCTTTTAGTATTGTGCTTCTGCTAAGCCAAAAACAGGCACTTGAAGAACTGAAGCAGTCAGTCCAGCAGCTGAGATGCACTGAAGCAAAGTTTTCAGCACAGAAGGAATTACTAGAGCAAAAAGTGCAAGAAAATGATGGGAAAGAGCCACCTCCAGTAGTAAATTATGAAGAAGATGCACGATCAGTTACATCTATGGTAAGCTAAAGAATAATCCAATGAGAAACTTGGAAGAGTAGTGTCTAGGTAATAAGTGAATACAAAAATAACTCCAATTTGCTATAACACATTATTACTCTTGTTAATATGCAGGTCCTATTAAACTTGTTTGTAAATGCAAAATAGACTTGTCAGTCACCTCAGGTCACCTGGAGAGCACTTTCAGGAACCACCTGTAGAGTCAGAGGAAAAAGTTCTTCTCTTGCCTTCAAAACTGAAAGGAAAGACTGCAGTTGTTTTTATTCCTGGGAGACAGCAGGAAGGTAGGGTCTTATTCTTAAGAGAGAAGTAAACAATAAGAAGAAAGCTATTTATTAATTTTTTTCATCTTAAGTAAAGTAGAATCTTATCTGAGTTTGCTGGTGTATTTATTGCTTTTAAAATACAAAATATTGATTTAGTTTAAGAAGTTTTTTTCTGCTCATAAATGTGATCCTTAAACTACAATAAATACATTCAAATTCACCAACTTGAAATTCATTTATTTCATAGTTGTATTAGCTGTTTAAGAATGCCTAGTATAAAGTCTTTCTTCTCTCCTTTCCTTTCCTCTCCTCTCCTCTTTCTTCTCTTCTCTCCTTTCCTTCCTCTTTCCTCTCTCCTTTCTCCTTCTTCCCCCCTTTCTTTCCCTTCCCCTCCCTCCCTCCCTCGTTGCCTGCCTGCCTGCCTGCCTGCCTGTCTTCCTTCCTTCCTTCCTTCCTTCCTTCCTTCCTTCCTTCCTCTTTCTCTTTATCTTTCTTTCTCCTCCTTCTCCTTCTCTCTTCCTCTTTCTTTTCTCTCTCTTCCTCTTTCTTTTTCTTTTTTCTATTATCTATCTATTCATCTATCTATCTATGTATGTTGGTGATTCTCACCAAGTGGTCATTCCCCACCCATGACACCCTCCCCAGCACCCCCACCCACATACCTGGGACATTTGGTAGTATCTCCAGACACTGATTGTCACAATCAATGGGTGCTATCGACATCTAGTGGGTAGAGATTGGTGATACACAGAACCTCTTAGAATGCACAGAACAGCCCCCTCCCTTCACATTACCAGCACAAAATTATCCAGATCAAAATAGGAAAAGTGCCAAGGTTAAAAAAGTCTGAGCTATATCCTTGGCATTTCCTGTGGGTAACTTATAGAATTATTATAATTATGCTATAGCTGATATTTTAGTAATTTTTACTTTATGTGATTCTAAATGATATGATTAGATTAAGTGGATTCATATGTCTCCATAGCCAAAAAAAAAAAGACTGTATCTGAGAATATGGTAAATGTAAAAATGAATATGAAGTATTTAAACAACCGTAGTTGTTACTCTTAGATATTAAAATTAAACTATTGTGGTTGTTATTAATATTGAGCCATATTAATCTACACATTACTTTGTGAATCGTGAATTATGAATCCTTGCTCTCCTTCACTGTCCTAGCTATAAGGATCTCAGCATGTGTACCAAGGAGCCTGTTAAATTCCCTTTCTTGCTTCGTGATTCTTGATAAGTATCTGGCATATGTGTTCTTTCAAAGGAACTTCTGAAAAGTTTTCCTTTTGTTTGGCTTTTGAATATCTTATCTAGTAAATCTTTTGTTCACTGAGTGTGGTTTATAATATTTCCATTACCGTGCGGTTGTGGAATTGGTTATTTAAAGGCTTGGCCAGGCGCAGTGGCTCATGCCTATAACCCAGCACTTTGGGAGGCCAAGGTGGGTGGATCACAGGGTCAGGAGATGGAGACCATCCTGGCCAACATGGTGAAACCCCATCTCTACTAAAATACAAAAAAAAAAAAAAATTAGCTGAGTGTGGTGGTGTATGCCTGTAATCGCCCCTCTACTCAGGAGGCTGAGGTGGGAGAATCGTTTGAACCCAGGAGGTGGAGGTTGCAGTGAGCCGAGATCATGCCACTGCACTCCAGCCTGGTAACAGTGCAAGACTCCATCTCCAAAAAAAAGAAAAAAAAAATTTGTGATCATCTGGAGTTTAATGTTTCATAATCATTGAAGAGAAGTTTTGTTTAATGAATACATAATGTTTCCGAGGTAGTATATAGTGTAGCTTAAGAGAATCAGTTTCTTTCTGGCACCTTCAGGCTCTGCTCTTGTGTCCATTTATTCAATGGTGATAATAATTTATATATTTTTACAAGATGGTGCTGCATATTTCATTTTATCAAATTTATTTTAAATTGTTGAAATACTAATTATAAATTAGATCTTACCTATTTGCTGAAGCAATGCTTTTAGTCGTTAAGGATTTTTTTGTAAAAGAATATTATAATATATGTAGTTTAAAGCAATAAATTATTATTTTACAAATAAGACAGGGCATTTTTACAAATTAATGCCAATTAATGAGATTTTACAGCATTTTTTCAGGAAAATTATAAATCTTTACAATGCCTAATTCCTAAAACTTAAGAATACGTCTACATGTATCAGTGAATCTTTGTGTAATTCAGTTTTTCAATTAATAATTAGAGTATTATTTTTCAGTTTACTTGGAAACAAAAAGAATCAAAACTTTAAATGATTTTGTCCCCAAATAACTGTTTAAGCATTGCTTTATGAATTATGTTACAAGAAAAGCCAGAAATTCACATAAGCAGTTCTGTTGATATTTTCTCTTTATAAATTCCATTGTTATAAATGGTATACAATTTCAGTAAGAGACTTATTTGAATATTGGAAGAATTGGAAGAACTCAAAATTAAACTACTGTATCATGGAAAATTGTGCAAATTTGTGTAAATATTATTTGAGAGCAGGAGAGACAATGAATTATTTCCACATGAGTTTTGGAGAGAATAAGCATTCTCCATGATCTTAGTTAATGGCAGTGTGACTGAAAATACCGACTCTTCAGTGGTGAGTGCTTCTGTGGAAGAGCGCTTTAAGGAACTGTACCCTTGAAATGTGTCATCATTGGGTATTCTTATAAAGGTTCCAAATGATCAAGTGTATAATCAGGGTTGGGGTTGTATAGTCAAGTTCTTATAAGTATTGATATTTATTTTAGCTCTATAAGTCAATGAGAGTTAAAGCTTATTGTTAGAGTTTGAATGTTTATTCTCTCCAAAACTCATGCGGAAATTTAATTGCCATTGTAAGAGTGTTAAGAGTGGGACCTTTGAGAGGTGATTAGGTCAGGAGGGCTTCACCTTTGTGGATGTAATTAATGTCTTTATAAAAGAGGGAGTTCAGCTCCCCTTTACCTCTTTGCCCACCTCCCCACCCCTGCCATGTAAAACCAAAGAATTCTTTCCCTTTGGAGGATGCAGTGTTCAATGACCCATGTTGGAATTGGGGATTAGGCTCTTTTCAGATGGCCAGTCTGCTAGCAACTTGATCTTTGACTTCCCAGAACTGTGAAAAATGAATTTCTTTCTTTTTTTTTCCTTCACAACTATACTAATGAGGAAATAAATTTCTGTTTTTTTGTAAATTACCCAGTCTTAGGTATTCTGTTATAGAAGCACAAAATGGTGTAATACTCCTAACTATTAATTTACAAAAATCTAAAAATGTATAGACACAGATAAATCATCTTCATCAGGACCGGTAATCCCTCTAATGTGGTCTTTTTTCACGTTAATCTGGCCAAAATACAAAGGAGAAAATGATTAATTTTAGTATAATTCTATTTTATTTATTCACTCAGGCAGTCTTTACTGAGTACCTACTATGTGCCAAGCACATTTCTAGGTACATGGAATACATTAGTGAATAAAAGTAATAAACAGTCTCATCTTTTAGAGGTTATAGTCTATGCTGAATGGCAGTTAATAAATAAGTAAATTATATATCATGTTGGAAAAAAAGTGGCAAGGAGTAAAAACAAAGCAGGGTCAGAGGTTGGTACCCAATTTTAAATGCAAGTCAGGATAAGCATCATTGAGAAGGTGACATTTGAAGAAAGACTTGAAGCAGAAAGCTAATAAACTACTTCAATTTTGGGGGAAGGAGCATTCCAGCCAGAGGGTACATCCGTTGCAAAGGCTGTAAAACAGGTGCATGTCTGGACTGTTCAAGGTTTAGCAAGAAGGTTTAAGTAGAAGGAAATGTGGAAGTATGGGGAATGAGGTTAGAATAGTAATGGAGAACAGATCTTGAGGCCTTGGATTATGAATTTTCTCTGAATGAAATAGGGAGCCATTGGGTAGGAGGGCTATAACAGAGGAATGACATGCCCTGACTTTCAGTTTAAATTGGATAGCTATGGCAACTACGTTGAGAATAAACTTAATGTGGGGAGTAAGGATGGAAAGATGAGACGATTGCAGAAACTTTACATGACAGAAGATGACAGTTTGAGCAAGGATGGTGAGATACCACTGTTGGTCAGAAGTGTTTAGCTCCTGTATATATTGTGAAGCTTGAGGCCATGAGATTTTCTGTGGATGTGGAGTATGAGAGAGCGGAGTCAAGAATGGCTTTAAGGTTTTTAGCCTGAGCATTTAAGGAATTAAATTGGTTTTAAGTGTGGTGGAAAGACTACACATAGAGCGGCTTTGATGAAGAAGATCAAGCCTTCAGTTTGTTTTTCAAAAACGACAAGTCAGCAGAAATTTGGGTATTTGGGCTTGGAGTTCAAGAGTATGATTTGAACTGGAGGTAAAAATTTGAGAGTTGTAGACATCAGATGGTATTTAAAACCATTTGACTGTAAGAGGTCATCAAGTGAGAGAGGATAGAGAAGAAAAGAGGAACAAAGACTGAAGTCAAGTTAAGAGGTCTAAGAGAAGAGGAATCAGTAGAAGAGACTGAGAAGAAGAAACCAGTGAAAGAGAAGAAAATCAGGAGAATCTGGTGTCCTGAAAGTCAAGTGAGGAAAGTATTTCAAAGTAGAGAGAGTGATCAGTTGTGTTAAATGTTGTTGATGGGTGCAGTAAGGTGAGAACTGATAGTTGAACATTGGAGTTAGCAATACAGAGGTCATTGGTGAGCAGTTTTAATGGAATGGTGGGGATAGATCACTGATTAGGGTG